AATAAAAATGGATTGGCTAAGTTAGTCAAGTCCAATCAATGGTACAGAGTTGTTTCTGATAATCTTCAGGATTGGTGTGTCGATTCCGGAGCTACAAAACATATATGTAGTCAAAGAGATATGTTTTCAGATTTCAATAAATTAAATGGAAGTGTAAAAATAGCAAATGGAAAAAGCGTAAAAGTTGAAGGTGAAGGAAAGGTTACACTAAAACTCAAAGTATTTGATGGAAGGAAAAATCAAATAATAGATGTAACACTAAACGAAGTTTCGTACATACCTGAGATGGATGGAAATTTAGTGTCAGTTAGAAAACTGACAGAAAAGGGATTTAAAGTTGAATTTACAGAAGAAGAGTGTATACTCAAAAGAGGAAATTATTGTATTTCTGTTGCTAAATGGAAAAATGGACTTTACCATTTAGAAGAAATTAATTTGTGTTATAAAATTAAGGAGGAGAAAGAGTCATGTATTCATGAATGGCACAAAATTTTATGTCACCGCAATTTAGCCGACATTAAACGTATGAAGTCTAAAGGTTTAAGTATAAGCGAATGCGAATGTAGTGACAATTGTGAAGAATGCATCAAAGGAAAATTAACACGGAAAAGCTTTCCAAAAAAGGCAAAAGAAATTGAAGAAGTTTTAGACTGTCTTGTGAGTGATGTTTGTGGTCCAATGCAGGTTAGATCTATTGGAAAAGCAAGATATTTTGCAACATTTATAGATTTTAAAAGTGGATACACAGAAGTTGTTTTTCTTAAAAGCAAAGATGAAGTTACAACAAAACTAATTGAATACATTGAAAAACTTAAAACGCAGTATGGTAAAAAACCCAAGATTGTGAGAACAGATAGGGGAAAAGAATATATCAATAATATTCTTCAAAGCTATTTGAAAAAGGAAGGAATTTCATATCAATGTACCGTTGGATATGCACCTGAACAAAATGGTGTAGCAGAAAGAAAAAATCGAACATTGATGGAAGCTGCGAGAACAATGTTACAAGATGCTCATTTACCAAAAAATTTTTGGGCAGAAGCAATCAGCACAGCTAGTTATGTTTTAAATAGAGTTGTGAGCAACTACAAAGATGTGTCGCCTTATGAATGCTTTACTGGTAAGAAACCAAATTATAGTGAATTTCATCAATTTGGATGTGAAGTTTTTGTAAAAATACCAGACGCTAAGCGAAGGAAATTAGATTTGAAGGCGGAAAAAATGAAGTTTATTGGATATGACGAAGAATCAAAGGGATTCAGAGTTGTTAATAAGAATTATGTTGTTACAATTAGTAGAGATGTTGTGTTCCTAAAAAAAGTGGGGAAGACGCAAGAATATGTAACTGTTGAATCGAGTGATAATCATGACAAGAATAACGATAGTGAAATGAAAAATTGTGATGATATCAATGAAGGAAATAATGAAGATATTGAAGAAGAAAATGAGATGAGTATTCAAGATTATTTTGATGCTACAAGCATTATAGAAGAAGAAACTGAAAGGAATACTGATAACTCATATGATGAAGAGAATACTTTGATCCCGAACGAGGTTCAGGAGGAGAAAAATGATAACTTAAGAAGATCGACAAGAGTTAATGCTGGAGTGACACCAAAAAGATATGGATTTGATGATCATGTAGCAAACAAGTGTGATGTTTATGAGATAAAAGAGCCAACAAGTTTTAATGAAGTGTGTATTCTTCCAGAAAAAGACTTTTGGGTTAAAGCAATGCAGGAAGAGTTACAAGCCATAAATGAAAATGATACTTGGGAACTTGTTGATTTACCAATTGGGAGGAAGACAATTGGATGTAAATGGGTTTTTAAAATAAAGAAAAATGACCAAGGAAATTTAACAAGATATAAAGCCAGACTTGTAGCAAAAGGCTTCTCACAAAAGTTTGGAGAAGACTATGATGAAGTATTTGCACCAGTCGTAAGATCTACTACCTTTAGGATAATGCTTTCGACAGCATCCACAAGAGGATATAAAGTGAAGCATTTTGATGTTAAAACAGCATTTTTAAATGGAAAAATTGAAGAAGAAATTTATATGAAGCAACCCGAAGGGTTTGAAAAAGGAGATAAAGTATGTAAACTAAAGAAGGGTTTATATGGTTTGAAACAAGCAACAAGACAATGGAATAAAGAAGTGCACAGAATTTTCGAAGAAAATAATTATGTGCAGAGCAGTAGTGATCAATGCCTATATTATAAAACAGATCAAGAAAATACAAATTATGTATTAATTCATGTCGATGATATATTAATGGCAAGTAACAGTGAAGCGATGATGACCGAGTTACAAGTAAATATGAATAGGGAATTTGAATTAAAAGATTTGGGAGATGTTAAAATTTTCTTAGGCATTGAAATAGAAAAAGATGAATTTGGTAATTTTATGATAAATCAAGAAAAATATATTGATGAAGTTGTCATTAAATCTGGTTTGAAAGATTCAAAATTTTCAAAATATCCTTTGGATCCTGGATATGAAAAATTAGTTTGTACAGAAAAACTAGGAGACAACAAAGAGTATCAAAAATTAATTGGAATGCTTTTGTATATATCAACCAATACAAGACCTGATATATCCGCAAGTGTATCGATTCTTAGCCAGAAAATAAAAGATCCAACAAAAATTGACTTAAACGAAGTAAAAAGAATAATTAAATATTTGAAAGGAACAAAAAATCTGAAGTTGAGATTAAGTAATAAAGCTGGAAATTTAAGTCTTCAAGGATATTCAGATGCAAATTGGGCTGAAAACAAAGTAAATCGAAAGTCTAATAGTGGATATATTTGTTTGGTGAATGGTGGTACAGTCAATTGGGCATGTAGAAGACAAGATTGTGTTTCTTTATCTTCAACAGAGGCTGAATATATTGCATTGGCAGAAACAGTAAAAGATATGATGTGGATTAGGAATATCTGCAAAGATTTTAAGATTGTTAATCAAGAACCAGTAAAAATTTATGAAGATAATCAAAGTTGCATTAAAATGACTGAAAATCTTAAATTCAGTAACAGAACAAAACATATTGACACGAAATATCACTTCATTAAGGATTTGAGAGAAAAGAAAGAAGTAATTGTAGAATATTGTTCAACAAATGATAACATAGCGGATATGTTAACAAAACCATTAACTGGTGAACGAATTAAAAAATTGAGAGAAGCAGCTAATCTACAAAATAAATATTCTTTTGAGGAGGAGTGTTGAATATTGTAAACCAAAACTGTAAGTATTAGGTCAATAACGAGTATAAACATGTTAATGCACGATTGTCAGTTTAATAGCTTACACCGAATACTTAGTAATAAAAAGATGATCAATTTATGTTTAATAGCTTAACAGAAGTCATAAAATAATTCATATGATTTATGATAGTCAAATAGTTGATGAAACTGTATGTAACATTCATGTAATTTTTGATATAAATAGAGCAGACAAATTTGAAATAAAGCTAGTTATAATTCAGACTCCAAACATTGAGTGAAGTATTCTTCTGTTTCAGTAGTATTTAGCTGTGTAGTCTATACTGCAAAAGAAGATTTATTTCGTCAGAAAAGAGCATATAACTCGAATAAAGGAAACTGATTGAGAATCACCATGAAAGAACAACAACCCCCCTATGAAAAATTCTACAAAAATCGAGTTTTTTCAAGAGCATGATTTTTTTTTCACTCAACCTAGAACAAGTGTTTTAGACCACGAAACAGATGTGAACATAAAAGTGATGTATTGAAGAAAGTTGCTACAGGCTGAGATGCATCCAACGTGATATAAGATATCAGTCTAACAAGTCAGACCTCGAATGAAGTTTTTCCAGAACTTTCAATGCTCGAACTGAGATTTCCACTGCCACTTATAAAAACTGTAAGATCTTTCCTCAGTGAAAGATCTTTCGCAGTTGTTATTAAAGGTCAGTTCTCAGAAATCAAGGTAATCAAATTCGGAGTGCCACAAGGAGCAGTGCTTTCACCAACTCTCTACAACATCTTCACGTATGATCAAACATCGGTCTTTTCGCAGATGATACAGCACTGTATCTTTCAGCAGAGAACTCGGCCGATATTGTGACACATCTACAGCACACAGGAAGAAAAGTTCAACAATACATGAACAAATGGAAGATCAACCTCAACAAACAGAAGACTCAAGCCTGATTCATCACAAACGGGCACCCCAAGCAACTTCCAGGAAATATTACAAATTTCTCAACGAAAACATCAAATCTGATCTTCATACAGAAGCGAAAATACCGTCCATCGAAGACTACGTCGGAAAGTTGCAAGCGAACTTCAACAGTCGTCTTGCATCTCTAAACACCGAATAAATCAACTGAAATACAAAAGAAAGTAAAATCAAAAATTAAGAGACAAAAGGCAAATTGAATGCCTGAAACCTTAAAAAACAAAAAGTAACAAAATGTATAGAAACTTTGTAAAAAAAAAATTATATTGGGAAATAATTTAAAAAGTGATACTTGCTACCCATCGTCATAGACTTTAATTCTTAAAAAAAATTTGCTTGTGTTTCTTTAATAATTGTCAATTGTGTTCCCGAATTCTAGCTCGATTCCTATTTCATTGATGAGAATCTTTAAAAATGTCGATACAGCAGAGCATATGAGTCCATAGGTTCATTTCGTTTCCATTTGATTCAGAAAAAATAACATATTTTAAGGTTCTTGAAGCTTCAGCAAAATGTCAAAATTACGATGTAATCGATAGTTGGTAATAACAGTTATTTCAATTTAAATATTGATTTTATACAAATGGAACCGATAAAGGCTAACATCAAAATTATTTTAAAGCTGTTTCGCCTTATCTATATTATGTATTGAATAAAGGATTCCTATTATTATTATTTTTAAAACTTAATCAATGCATCATTGAAGTAAAAAAAAATTCACTTTAAATAAATTTTGAATTTTTTTTATAGAATTATTTTTGTGCATTATATCACAATAAAATATAATGTACTAATCTCTTAATATTAAAGGACTTTCAGTCTTCAGGTAATTAATTTATTAAACTCTTTTCAGGTATATTCTGAATAACATTCTGGATTTCTTCAAATGCTTCATCTAGAAACTCGTACCTAACTCCGTCATTCTCCAAAAATGAGGAATAGTCCGTTTCTAAAAAGTTGATAATTAAGAATCTGTGAATTAAATGATACTGATTTTTCTTTACCTTTCTTCTTATGATTAACAAAAGAGATAAGTGCTGTATTGTGATTCGATATCTGTTTCCTAAATTTTGAATGGAATTCTCTGCAAGATCCTTAAACATCAGAAAATTACCAAAACATATTAAATAACGATTAATTACCTTCCTTTTATAGGCACCCATCTAGAGTACATCTTTTCAAGACCAAAGGCTTTAATATAGCAAGCTGCTAAGCTCTTTTCATTAATATCACGAAGTTTTAAAGGTAAAATTTTCTGGCTATGAGGATTTTCATCCCGAAACTTCTTGATTTCATCAAAATACTTTTGGATAAATGTCAGATTTTGATTTTTATCTATGATCTTGGTTTGTATTTCTTTTCTAATGTGCGCAACTGATGATGGATTCCCCATTATTACATTTTTATGGATTTTAATTTCAAATGAAAATTAATGAAATATTTAGCTATTTTTGTTCCAATTGGTTCAAACATCAATAAATGAGTTCATCAATTCGAATATTTTTTGACCATTCAACTGCGAAACTTAGCTGATTAAAACTAACTTGTTACGACTTATTTAATAAAATTAAAAAATAGACCCCTTTCTTAATTTATTTGACGTTTTGAAAGCAATCATGCAACTTTTATTGAAGAAAAAAAAACTGTCGCTGCGAATCGCATGTGGCTGATTCTACAGTGATTGTATGCTTAATTTCAATTTTCTTGGTAAATTAATGTAATAAGTCCAATAACTTATATATGGAATTGGCCAGGTAGAAATCAGCTGTGACGATGAGTAAGAGAAATGAATATCATAATATTTCACTTACTTATTGGAATTCCACAAAATTCTATACATAAAACTTAATTATTGTAAAGAGTCTACGTTTAATCAGTTATTAACATTATATTCAGAGAGTTTACCATCAAAAAGTGAGTCATAGCATAAAGAAATAATCGGAAATTAGTGAATTAAGGTAAAGGTAACGTTTTAATTGTAAAATGTATTTTAATAGTTTTATTTTTATGATCAATTAAAAAAACATATATTATCAAACAAATATTTAAAGCTTCCTTACTTACCATACTTAAAGTATTTGATGATTTCCACTAAGAAAATCACTTTTTTTTTAAATACAAAGACTTTGAGTTTTTATGACTAATTTATCGAATGTCTTTGACAATTTTCAAGTGTTTTAACAATTCTCGTGACTTTTAATTGTAGAAATTCCGCAATGGGTAATCAAAACAGCAGGCCTAAGAAAAAGAAATCAAGTAATCCATCATCTCCGATAGCAATACAAACAAAAACAGAGTCACGGGGAATGATAAGAAGCCCATCTGGAGCAGACTTTCAGCAATCACCGACTAGATTTACTCCAATTGATGAACTTGCTAAGTTACTTACAAAGAAAAATGAGACAGAAGGAAGTGGCAATGGAATAACGGACTTTGTCTTTGCAAAATATGTCTTTCCAAACAATAATGACCTTGGAATGCGTTTGTTTCGTCACTTTCACACGGTGTCACATGCAAAAACGGTACATTTAGGCACAACAGCATTTAAGCAACAATGTGAAAGATTTTTGTCAATATTGGATGACTCAAAAGTCATTGAGATGTATGTTCGAATATATTGTAACTTAAATGAAGAGAATGCCACAAAAGAAGGAGTTAAAAATTTGTTAAGAACGTCCTTCAACATAGCAATGAGATATAATACTGGCGAAGCACATTATTGCAATAATATCGAAAATACACTCGATTCAGTGATAGATACTTGCTTCTTTCACGATAACTTATCAATTGGTTTTGTCGCTAAATGGCTGGAAGAAAATTTGTCGAGGATAATTTTGCCTATTCATCGTTATGCCCTCCATTTACTCACAACGAGCTATAGAAATATTCAGATGAATACAGAAGATAAATCCACAAACGGACTTGAACTACAGACTCCTGTTCTTGAAAAGGGAAAAGTTTTTCAGGAATCTAAGACACTTTTGTCACTGTCGATGGCCTGGTTGCTTGCTGGATCACTTCCCATTGTTTATTCACGTCCACAAGTCAATCCTAAGGCAAAACAAGAAAATCCTGATGAAGAATCAACAAGTTCAGGATTAACAGCTGCATCACTTTTGCCATCGCAATCTTTCCTAACGCGAATAGCTCCATTACTACCATCACATTGGACCCTTATTTATGATACTCTTGAGCATGGTGTTGGTGCTAATCGTTTTCTTCATCATGTATTAGGATATAAAGGACCAACATTGACTTTTCTTAAAGCTCGCAGTGTTAAAAATAATGTTGAAAAAGTATTTGTTGTCGGAGCTCCATCTGAATGGAGAGAGACACATTTATATATTGGTGGTGAAGACAGCTGTTTAGTGCAATTATTGCCGAAATTTTCAGTCATCGAAAAAGGAGGAAAAATTTTGTATCTCAACACTCACATTAGAGGTTATCCTAAAGGATTACGAGTTGCTGTTGATCCACGAAATCCAATTATAGCAGTTGATGAGCATTTTGAGAATATCGATGTCCATGCCATGGCACACATTTTACTATCAATTGAAGTTTGGGGTTGTGGTGATAAATCATCTCGAGATGTGCAATTAGATATTAAAAAATGGCAAGTTAAGGAAGCAGAAAGACAACGAACCGTGAAAATAAGTGCAGCAGAATGGATTGATAATCCTGATCGATATCTTTTGGAGCTTAATGGACGCGTACAGTATAACATCCCCAAAGAGTGAACCTAATTAGTTTTTTTGCAGTGTAAAGTGTAATTTAAAAGAAGTACCTATATTCTATGGAATAAAATGTATAAGTAATTTGAGAAAATTTATTTTTAGTAATTTTGTTAACCAAATTAAAATAAAATAAATTAAAAAGGGAGAATTCAAAAGCAGTTTTATAGTGTCCTGGAAGTACGCGGGCAGGATATGTCCAATCGACTTGAAACTCTGCCTGAATATTGTCCTAATATAGGTTATTTTAGGTCTTCAATCAAAACTTTTTGGTCATGCTTAGTTCCCGAGATACAGCATGTGTCATTTTGTACAGCCACAAAATTGGAAGTACGCGGGCGACTTTTCATAAATGCATGAAATTTTTAAGGTTATATATTAAAACACATATACGATTTATGTTCGATTTTTGTCCGCAAAATTTTTTGGAATCGGACCTTTGGATGCAAAGTTACAGCCATAAGAAGTTTATGGACGACATGTCATGCAATTTCAATTTTTTTATTTTTTTTAAACTAGTCATGTTATATGTCTAAAAGCATCTTAATTTTGCAAGGAATACAAATGTCATTTTTGAAATATGGCAGTTCCAACACAACATAATCGTACCTGAATGACAAAAGTTTCAAAACTTTCAAAGTTTGGGTGGGGGGGTTCTGAGTTGGAACATATTGTAACAAGGGGGGGGGGGGAAATAGTGTCGGGTAATACTTCACATTTTACTCTTTTGTATTTGTGTACATATGAATTAGTATTATGTAGGATCAAATTTCTAATCTTCATATCTAGGTTTCAAATAAATTAAGACTCTCGTTTCGATCTTCTGTGAGCGTGACGTGATACTTTTCAAGTCCATTCTAACAATATTCCATTCGTGGGTAATCTCGTAGCTCTCGTTCCTATTTCTCCCGCTACACTTCAAGTTCCTCACCCGTTCCTTAATCCAACGTTGCCCAAATGCCCAATTATGGCTTGATCTCGTACATTAAGCAGTCGAAGTATCTAAACTTCCGAAAAAGAACACATTTGGAAATGGCTGGATTCGAACCGACGACCTTCGAGTTACCATTTGAGCCAATTTGAGCCAAAAACTTTAAATGACCTTAAAGCATAGTTAAATCAAGGGCTCAGAACACCAGATCGGGAGCTGTATATCATCATGAAGCAGTTGAGCATGGTAGAAACCTAAAAAATTTAAAACTCAACAATACAAAATTTTAATGAGCAAAAAGATGAATGTTTTTATTTCTTCCTTCTTTTGAAAATATTCTTTTAATAAAAAGATGACAACATTTCAATTATTATCAATTATGTACTTACTAGAAAAAATGGTGCATAAATATATTTAATTAAGTAATTTAATATTATTAACTTTTCAATAATCTTTAATTTTATTCGTTGTGAATGAAGTATTACAGAACTTTTTTGTTTGCATTAAACTTCGAAATTTTCCTTATTTTTTTTTGTTGCTTCGAAAAAAATCAATATGAATTTAATTCATGAATAATTTAAAAAACTTCTTTTAAAAAAGAAAATAAATTGCGAGATGAGCAAATCATTGTTGATATTATTAAATCTTTATTTATAATTTTTTTTTTTCCTTAAAATGGCACTTAACTCTAAGATCATTGTGTTATGTGTGACACAAACTTAAGAAGAAAAATAAAAAGGTAATCGTTTTTCAAAGAAAAAATTTGAAAGAAAACGTTAAAAAGGAAAAAGCAATGACATTTACTACTTTGGTAATTGCTGTATATAATTCTGTTAAATATATCATAGGATTTTATTAAAAAATTTCATTTTCAAAAATCATCTTATTTTCTATATAGAAAAATTTACTTCAAAATTTATTTTGTCTCAAAAATTTTAATATTATGCAAGCTTATTTTCTGGATCGTTTTTGGCGGCAGTCCAATCGACAATGAAAAATTAACTACAATAGTAAGCCACTTCGGTCTAAAGGCGACAGATTATTTCAATAATTTATACAACTTTTTTTTTCGGAAATTTGAGATTAGGTTAAGGGAGTTTTGGATTTGATTGAAGTGGGGGTATATGGGGTACACACTCGTGTCATGGATTTAAATTTTATAGCAAAATTACCGTTTTCTGATCAAAAATATAATTGCATATTATGCATTTTCAGCTTACCGCAATGTAAGTTGGGTACAGGAACATCCAAAAAGAAATGATACACTCACTTTAAACTATCCCCAGTAAACCCAATGCCCTTCCTCAAATTCACGAAAATGCATCAATTTTCAAAATTAATTTAATTTAATTTTAAAAGGAATCTTAAAGGCTAGTCATGTATATATTCAAGTTAGATACATATACAGCCCAACAGTTACATCATGTCTGCTGGAATGTTTCATTAAGTTATGGAAATTCTTCATCACTCTTAGTTTACCCAATATTACTAAATTTTAATTAAGTACATTCCAAGTCTCAATAAAGAAAACAGAGAAGATCTTATCAGCTAAGTTACTTAAAGTTTAAAATTTTTGATTCTCCATTTGTATCTTTTAAAGGCATTAAGGTTCATTTGCAAAATTCACTAAATTTTTATCATTTTTTTTTTTGTTTCTTAATAAGAATGTCTTATTTGTTATCATTTAGGCACACACACGATACACGCAATATGATGAAATAATTTTTTAGATTAGATTTACTCATTATAATTAATTGTCTTTCTAGAACTTAATTTTCGTGGGTTTTTCCTAACTCTCTCTCTCTCTCTCTCTCTCCCTCTTCGTGAGATTATTGACTAGAGACCCCGGATAAAACCGGATAAGCAAGTCTATTATTTTTTAACTATAAACAGTTTTTGTAGCCTTTGACTACTTTTAAATTAAAATTTATTTATCAACGCCCAACATTTTTGCGGCCTCGTCTGCCGATGCATTAATCATGGTGTTCAGTACACCTTGATCGCTAATGCCGAGTAAACTTCCCAATAAATTTGATCCAACTGATCCACTCAATTGCTGTTGCATGTTGAAAAATTTCTCTTGAAATTTAAGGAATAGCTCCTTATTGATTGGATTTAGCATTCGAGTCATGAAATCTTGATCGTTCTTCTCATGTGATGTCATCATTTCCATTAACTTTTTATTGTTCATGGTGACTATTGCAGATGATTCATCGTCAGACATGTCTGACGCACTGTTATTGATACTAGAGCCATTTCCATTGGCATCTCCATTCTCCGGCTTTTGGAAATTGTTGATGTGTGGTGCATTTGAGTGCTTCTTGCGATGGCGAAGCATACTGTGCTTAAGAGTGAATTTACGCAGACAGACGTCGCAGGAAAATGGACGATCACCACTGTAAAGTGATAGAATGAAGTTAAATACATAATTTGATATGAAAATAGAGATAATTTAACAAAATTTTAAAAAAGAAAAGGTTTCTTACCTATGAGTTCGCATGTGACGACGTAAATCTTCGGTTGACCAAAAGCGACGCAAACAAAAAGCGCAGATGACCTTGCGGTTTGCATAATCAGGATATTTTCCCTTTTTGTCATGATCGTCATCGTCTGGAGATCCATTGACATTCTCCTCACTCTCCAATTGAACTTTCTGCATGAGAACAGCAAAATCTTGTGAATGTAAAGACTTGATGTGCTCTAAACATCCAACACGATCTACAAATGATCCATCACAAAGATGGCACTTGAATGGTAGGTCAGATGACATAATTGGAGCTTGCTGTTGAGCCGGTGATGAAGAGTTTTCGATTTTTGTGAGAATTGGCAATTGGAGAGTAGATGGAATATTAAATGATGTTTCTTTTGGACTTTCCGCTTGTTCAAGCTTTAGCTCTTTTGATGATCGAACTGGCTCTTTTACAGGCTCTGGCATTTCATCAATTGGAAGTTGTAGAGAAACTGCATCTTCACAGTTTCCATGCTTTCTCAATAAGTGACGATCGCAGTTGCTTTTTGTGGTGAACAGCAATGGACATTGAGAGCATTTGAATGGCTGTTGGAAATGAAATTTGATTAGTTACCGTACAGATAAAGGAGATGGGTTTTGAAACTTTACCTTCTGTCCAGTATGTGTGAGGATATGGCGTCGCAATGAACTTGACCATGGAAATTTACGTTGGCAATAGGGACATGAGACACGATTAGGTGCTAAACTATATGCTGACTTTTTCTTTTCTTTGCCGATACTTGATGTATTTGGTTCATCAGTTCCTGAATTATTACTCTCAGAAGCACTTCCTGATGCAACGAGACCTTCTTCATCACTGTGATCTATCATGGGCGGCACTGGTCGACTGCTTGACGTTTCATGAAAAGGAACAAAATTGAAATTAATTTATTAAAATTTTGCGTGTGATAAAATTAAATTTTTCATTACTTTAAGTGAGCTTTAATAGAGTTTAAGTAAAAAATTATTGGAAATAATTAATCGGCCATAAGTGAGAGTATTTAGTAGAGAAAGAGCAATCAACTACAATTAAAAATCAAACAAAAAAAGAACAATAAATTACAAAAAATATTCATGCATAAAATTTTAGTTGTTAATTGAGGCCAGGATGTGAATTTTGAGGAAAAAAATTTAACTAGAATTAATCCTCACCTGAAGTAGTTTGACAAGACCATAGAATTTGTCGCATTATCAATCAATTTTGATACAGAAACGAGATCATTTGCTTCTTCTCGATTAATTCTGTCATTCCTATGCTCCTTTTCGGATTCTTTTTCTTTTTCACGTTCTTGCTTTTGAGCAGCCTTGATTAAACTCTTTGCATGACTGCTCCCCATTTTCATTGCTTCCTCTAAAATATTATCGGCGACCTTACGTGCTGCCGTATTCTTATCGTTCACACCATCTGATGATTTGCTTAAATCTTCTGCATGAAAATCCTCATCAATTACCAACTGTGGTTCATCATCGTCATGATTGGCATTTGGTGCTGAATTCTTTTCACTTCTCTTTTCATTTCTTACTGAAATTTCATCAGGAACCGTCAATTGTGTTTGTAATGGTAACGGTAATGGAGGAAATGACTTTGGGGATAATTTTGGACTATCGCGAGCTTTCAATTGCTGTGCTAAAATTGCATATTTAACTTGATCAGATATTCCACCAAATCCCGATGCTTGTAGAGTCGGCATCATTTGTGGTCCATTCATTTGCATTTGTGATGAGCCTGACGATGGACCACGTCGCATTAATCCATGATTTCCACGTTGTCTTTGCGCCCAGAATTGAGGATGTTGTTGTTTAATGTGTCTCTCCATATTTGAGCGTAAAGTAAATCTAGCCGAGCAATGTTCGCATGCGAATGGGCGTTCTGTACGATAACGACGTTGTTTCTGTTTTGGCATCAATACTCCATTTTTGATAACCATTTTAACAGGTCCAGTATGATTTTGAAGATTTATATGCTGATGATTTGGCGTTGTTGAAATTTTCTTTGGGGATTCTTGTGGTGTTGGTGGAAATGGTGGGATTGGAATTGAATTTCCTACTGGCGATTGTTCTATTGTTCGAGAAATTTGTGATGCTGGACCATTCGGTGAGGAATCGGGTGATACAAATGGATTTACAATCAAACTTCCACCAGACATGCTTCCTGCAGTCGGAGTTTGACTTGAATTGCTTTGTGGTGGAGTTGGTGGCATCATGTCTTTTTGAAAAAAGTTCTTCATTGTATCATTGAGTAGTAATGGATTTTGTAGGAATAATGCTGGATGAATGGGAAAGCCGGGTGTTGGAAATCCAAATGTTCGATACATTTGAGCTAAATTGAACATTTGAGCTGGATCGAGTTTTGGTAATGCTTCAGTGAGCAATTGCTGTTGCATTAAAAAGTTCTTTTCAAACATTGCTAGATCAAATTTGGGAATTTCAGGATGATCCATATCATCATTATTTCTCTCTTGGTCACTCTCATCTTCACCAGATGCATCGTTTCCGTTACTGTGATGAACGAATGAGTCAGTTTTCTTACTCAAGTCAAGTGCGTCCATTGACAAGTCAACTGGCCGAAGATGATGTGAATCATTTTCCTCTTCCTCAATGTCATTTTCAAAATTTTGTTGAGCTTTCAATTCTGCCAAGCTTTTAACCTGAATTCGACTTGGTGATTCTCCATTGTGTGAATTCAGCATGTCCTTAAGATGTGAAACTGGCGTGCTTCGTCCACTTGGATCTAAATCATCATCATCATCCATATCATCTCCATTGTCCCCGCGTGAAAAGCGCTGACTTGTTGTATACATGGCTATTTTCTTGCTATGATCATCAACACTTGAATCTTCTGATGGGTGGTAGATTATTGCTCGTTTAACTTCATCTCTTGTCGATTTTCCATGACGATTTCTTAGATGACGTTCACAATTAGCTTTGGTTGTAAATGCATAATTGCACAGTGCACATTCGTACGGTCTGTCTCCATTGTGGTTACGCATGTGTCTGATCAAAGCTTGTTTATCGTTAATTGAGAATGTACACATGTTGCATCGGTATGGACCAGGTCCAGCAGCACTTAAATGCACACGATTATGACCCTTCAATGCACGTAAATTAGGAAATACCATTGTGCACAATCGGCATGGGAATTCACCACGCAATTTCATTTTTCTAAATTCGATTGTGAAGGAATCTTGAGCTTCTTCTTCTTCGCGGTTATACAAGTGCTGGTCTTTTTCAATAATTGGTTTTTCGAGACCACCAGATGATGTTGCCTTGATGATCGACTCAATATCAGCAAAATCACGTCCCTCACTGAAATACTGATAAAATGGCGGTGTTTCTCTTAATTCCTGTTTAATGATCATCGATGCAGATGAGAATGACTTGTCAAGTGATGGAGATCTTGAGTTTCGTCTATTCTGAAGTGCAAGATTGGAAAAGAAATCTTCACGCTTCATTTCTTCATCATCAGCTGATGTCTCACTTCGCGACCGTCTGCGTTTGTGTGATAAATATTCATGTGTACCGTTGCACTCTTTCATGTGAATTTCAACAGCACTTGCACATGGAAATGCTCGATAACACGACCGACATTCATACTTTTGATTTGTAATTGGTGTACGAATGCTTGCTTCGCACATTTTCTGAGCGATAAGTGGAAATTTTTCACATGAAAAATCTATGATTGATGAGATATCGCTGAAGCCTTGTTGGACATTTGTATTTGATTTATTGTTGCCACATCGGTGTGCATTTAATGCTTTATGGCTCTTAAAGACCATCTCACAATGACGGCATTTTGCTGGAATAGTTGGATGTTCCTTGTCCATATGATTCTCTAGGTTGATCATGCTATTAAAGTCATTTCGAATACATACAGGACAGCAGAATTTTTGTAAGGGCTGTAATTGCAATTGTTGTTGTTGTAGTTCATGACTTGGTGACATTACATGATTTACCGCTCTAACTTTGCGCTTATTATTTTGTTCATCATCTGCACTTTTTCTCTTATTTGTAAAATTATTATTGACTTTTCGATTATTTCCATGTGAGCTTCCACTTGAATCAGTCGATCCATCACTTTCATAACTTTCACGGTCATGTTGTGGCTGTTTATGTGTACGCATATGTCGATGCATATTTCCGTTCGTTGTAAATGTTAAACTGCAAAATCGGCAATTAAAAGGACGCAATCCAGTGTGAACGAGAACATGACGATCAAGTGATGATGCCGACGATAAAACCTTTGAGCAAATTCGACATGTAAATGATGAACCATCATCAGATGAGTCACGCATATTATTATGATTACGAATATGATTTGTAAAGTCATGTTGCGTTGTCGATACAACATCACATATTGGACAGACATATTTTGTGGTTTCATCTTTCGTTGTACCTGTCGATGTTGAATTTGTTATCGTTGTATTGTCACTGGGTGCATCGTGACTAAAATTCATATTTTCATCTGAACTATGATTATTAATGTTATTATTGTGATTACGTGTGGTTACACTCATAATTTTTTTTTGCAACATCTTATCCATCAATTGCCTTAAATTATCTCGTCGTACGATTTTGTCTTTATTATTATTATCATGCACATTGCTTTCATTTCGTGTCTCACTCGATGATCGAATATTTGTGACAGTTTCGATGTCATTTTTATTACTCTTACATGTATTATTATTCAAATAGTCTTCATTCTCATCCGATTCAATAATGTCACTTTCTTGACTCGTCTTTACTGCTAACGATGAATTTGCGTCTGAAGTACTAAGGGTTTTATGTGATGAACTAACATCGGCTGGCTCGAGTGATGACTCAGAATTTGTTGATACACGTCGTTCCATTTTCTTACTATATGCGACTGTAAATAAAACAATGGAACGTGAAAATGATTGATAAGGAAATATTAAAAATAAAAAATTAAGTTGAAGAATTTTTGTATGAGGGTCTTTTTTTAATAATGTTCAAAACAAAAATATTATTTTATCTATGGAGTAATTCACATCTCTCTTTCTCTAATTGTACAATATCATTTATGAATAACCCCTAATCGCATAAGGCTGTGTTTTTTTTTACTTTTTAAGAGACTATTAGAATGGTTTTCGGTATGATTTGTTTTTCGCAGTTTGTTTTTTTGATTCTTTGTCAAGATTTACTTTGAATTCGCGTCATTGACCAATGAAAAACTGAACCGTTTAAAATCAGAACTCCATCATATTATATATTTATAGTTAAAACCTGATTTGTTACTCTCAATTGAACTTCAATCTGATGTCTTACGCCTTCATAATCCCATAAAATATTTCCGAAAGTTTGCATTAATTAAAGTTTTTATATTCACACCGTTTTCACTTGTGAATCTATTGGTTTTGTTCAGATTGAAAAATCAGTTTTTCGCATTTTGTGAGAAAACAAAGCAAAATTGGTTATAAAAGGTCACAGAAGAAAAGTATGTGCCTGAAGTAAGCAAGCAAGCAAATTAATCAGCAAGAAATCTCAATAACGAGACATCGTAGAGACTTCTAGTTTTTTACATTTGATCCGTGCTGCTCTATAGAAGAGCTGTATTGTTTTTGGGCAAGGTAGGAACAGCCGTTGCTTCAGAAAAAGCAAAAAACTTTCCTTTCTTACGAATTTTTCAAATTAAAAGTTCACTGTGATTTTTTTTTATTTTAAATTAAATTTTGAATGAAAAAAATTTTTTTGAGCAAAGAACCAAGTAGGAAATACATTTTCAATTATGAACTTGGGACAGGTCTAGTCAAAATCTAGTTTTTCACTTTTTTTCTTCGAAGGTTTATCCAATTACAGTGAAACTTTGTGTGAGTATACTAATATTTATACAAAACAGTTTTAAATATCTAAAGCAAGAAATGTATTCTATATGTCGTCAGACCCAAATTTTATAAATTTGGTTCTACATATAAAAACAACGTGACTTAAAATTTTGTCCAAAAAAATGATTTTTATTAATTCAGTAATGAAAATTAGAATGCTCATACAAAGTTTTACTGTATTTGGATTTATCCTCGAAGAAAAAAGTGACAAAATTGATTTTGACTAGGGTCGCCCCTAGTCCAAAATTGAAATTGTATTTCCTACTTGGTTCTTTGCTCAAAAAAATTTTAATATATTTTATTTGTATTTGTTTTAAGCACTAGAATATTTACGCAAAGTTTCAATCCATTTGGATTTACCCTCGAAAAAAAAGTGACAAAATTGATTTTGACTAGGGTCGCCCCTAGTCCAAAATTGAAAATGTATTTCCTACTTGGTTCTTTGCTCAAAAAAATTTTTTGGATGTTTTATTTGAATTGACATAATTCTGACCTAAATCACATATCAATATTATTTTTTGCAATACATAGCTTAAAAAAATAGAAAGCTAAAATTTCGACTACCCCACCTGAATTTTGTTCATACTCTTCACTGTGGAAACTAAAAAACAAATTCTTTATCTTAAAACACTTGACAAAATAGCGACATAATTCAGGATTAACTACTTTTTAATAATATTTTAACATTTACGAGAAAATGTGGTTCGAACAAGTGTGAAGTATGGCCGAGATTTGGACCAAAATCAGCTATACTGGTTCATAGTGTTCCCGAGGGTGACAAAATTCAAACTAAGTGTTTTTGTAGCTGACATAATTATGACATAAATTAGGTATATCTTTTGAACTGTGTCGTCATGGGTTTTGGCCGTACTTCACGCCCACCCTTCAAACTTATGCTGAGCAAATCTTGGTCTATCCATAAGACTTTTGATGGTACGGTGTGAATATATCCGCATTGGGTTTCTACCCGATACACTAGTTTTTTATATTTTTTATATTTTTTTATATATTAATCACTGATACCACGTTATAACAGTTGTTATCGACCATTTACAAATCAAAATGTTGGCTTTCTTTTTATCTATGACTAACAGTTATTACGTGATTATTTGTTTTGAAATAATACACATGCACACATGACGAGTAATCAATTAATCCATTTAAAGAATAACGATCGATTGATTAGCGGGAAAAGGTACTTCAATGTCTTGATAATAACAAAATCATAAATTTAAATTATTTTTGTGTCGCCCAAAAAGTTTTAAGGCTTCATATCCGCGACCATCTTTTTCATAAAATTTTCGATTTTATTAAAAAATTAATTATTATTATTCTTGGAAATCGATAAGGAATCAAAATTGACTTTTTTCGGATGTTCGTGTTTTTCACGGATTTTTTTTTCTGTCTTGATGAAAAACTCAAGCTGTTGTGTACCAACAATTATTAATAAATCCAACTCACAAGAAATCAAAATCTTATCACAAAACTCAAAGGAAACAGTGCAAAGTCCCTTTCCTTTCGATATTTAAAATAACCATGAAGAGTAACTGCACACCAATATCATATTCTCAATTTATTGAACATCACAACTTGCATGTGTAATGTAAAATGTATCAATATCAATCATTCATATTTAGAGCAAGCACATTCAACGCTTTGTCTGTTTGCTCTAGAAAGTAAAATTGAAATAATGATAAGATAAATAGTACAGACACCCAATCACAAGCCTTTGTGCAAAAAAAAAGTATTTTCTGTTTGCTGTTTTATACAGCACGAAGCTATCTAGCAAAGAAGATAAATCGAATAACGAATTTCATCATCAATTAAGAAAATGACGGAGCTGAGTTATAAATAAATAAAAAATACATTACAGCGACAAATATCAATGATAACTCTTTTCTTGGAAAAGCAAGCGAAGTTTCGTATTGTGATGTTTACTGATTGATAACGGATTGTGATATAGACTCAAATCATCACATGTGAGATTTTTTTTTTCAATTTTTCCCAATCGATTATTGCGTCTTGAACGACACATCGGCTTGATAAGAAGATTTATCGACAATGATTTCGTGTTTTTGGAATGTAATTTAATTTAATTTTGTTGACACGAGAAGACTTGACGATAGTGGAATAAAATGGAACAGACTTTATCGTCATAAATCATAAGATTTTATTGAAAATGTCTTCAGTATTATTAATTTCGAAACTAATAGGCTTGGTTGGAGTCTGAATGTTAAAAAACGTGGTAAAAAGAACTTGCAAAAAATATAAATTAATATTATTTTTGATTAATTTAGAATGTGAGCTTATGAAACTTAGTGCCACAATATAGTTCATGCCTGACTGGATATCTCCAACCGTCATTTTTAATATATTCTCCCTAATTATGCATAAATTACCCTCGCAGAACTGGTGCTAGCTACTCCAGAATAAACGCAAACTTATCAATTTACAGAAAAAAGTAATATAATATTAATTAATAAAGCTATCAACAAAACAATTTTTATATGTATCCGATCCTCCTTATAAAAAAAGAAATTGAAATTGCCAATAATAATCAAATTAAATGGATATTACATCAAATTATGATGACAATTTGCCATGACTGTAATAAGTGAGACTCTAATGTCTCACACTTAACAACTTTTTTCATCATTTCACAATTTTTATTATTTTTTGTTTTAAAACAAATCATCGACGAAGAGAGAGATTAGGTAGGCTTGTATAATGATTGCGGTCACTTTTGTCAATTTATTTTCAATCAGAAATGAATTGAGCTGTTTATGAGAAATGAAAATGTAGAAAAACTAGAATCTAATGTTAATTGGTTAATTGAATGTGAGAATTAAGGATGCGTACGTTTTAAAGTACGTATGATTTTGGACGTAATTCATAAAATTTGGAAAATACAGCATGTAATAAGTTCAAAAGCTTCAAAGGGTTCATTTATGCTTTATTTTGCTATTTAATTCGCTTTTACTTGCTAATCAAATACTGGAGCGTCTATAACCTGCTATAACCACAAAAATTAAATAAAAGTGATGTTCAACGAATTTTATCATTATAGTAATTTGAATGTTCTAGAACAAAAAGTCATCTTAAAGTTTAATTCCACACCAATAATGATATAATGTCACAAACATTTTCAATAGTTTCATACTACATAATAACGTTAATTTACCTTTTTATTCTCTTAATCATCTAATTTAAATCCAATTTGAAAACTAAGCAATGTTTAATCAATGAAAATTGCATAAAGAGCAACTGAGAATATGTATGTATAAAATCGACAATTTAGTTATTATTCAAACAAATCGTCATCATTAAATTATTCAAAGATGAAGTTTCTCGTGAGAAGAGACGTTGACTCAATTTCATTGAATTAAACGTCAATTTTCAGTCCAACAATAAAAAAGAAAAATATCTATTGCGAAGATGAAAAATTCTCACAACAATTTGTAATCAAAATATTTTTTCTGTTGTTTTGTTTGAAGCTACACGCCATGTTTTCAAATGATTGGCATCCATAGCAACATCACATAAGAATTTGTTAAATGATTCAGCAAAACACCCTCATGAAGATTAAAATTCAGTGAACCTTCGAATGAATTTGCTTGATGACGATGAAATAAAAATGGCATACAGTAACATAAAACTACAGCCGTAACATGGTACTGAAAATCACCTTGTGTGGTGCTCATGTGGGTGATACGTGTATATTCATATTATATGTGTAAACATTACATTCCTTCTTGCAACCCTCACGAAATAATGAAATAATACATAACATTTATAAAAGTTACGTGTATTTAAATCTTAAAATTTCCATCAACAATATTTTGTCGTTGTGTTTGATGAATGAGGTAAATTGAGAATTTAAGCTTCATTACAACATGACTTGTGTTAAGAATAAAAAGTAGAAATATGCATCCTAAATTACACATTCATTTGCAGTTTAAATACTTATACCGTCTAGGTTGCTCTTGACAACAAAATCTAACAAATACAGGATTACAAGCCTTTT